ATCTTTCCCATGTGGATCAATACACATGGCATTTAAAACTTCTAGGCATCTAGCTCCCACGTGAATCTCATCTTGAAGCCGTTAGAATAAGATTTAATAGATTCTCAATTTGTCAACATAGTTCTCCTTACTAAAATTTCTTATATTTTCTCTGATATGCAAGGCTATTAAGGTTGGCTAAATGCCTCCCTCCCCCCATTCTTCCAGGATTTGTGTTCACATGCATTGGAAGAAAAGTGGGATCAAATTTTTTCCTCCTATCTGAATAGTCTGACATAATTCTGCTGCACGTCGTGAACTCAGACCTAAGAGTTTCAGTCTCTTCTTAAAACATGGAGCAATTTTCTGCATGCTTATTATGGCAGGAGGGAAATGATCCTGTAGTGCAATAGTGGCATGAAAGTATTCCCTCACACACACACACCTCTCAACGACTAAAGAAAATGCCTGTGCTCCTTTCTCTGCCGACCCACTTAATGGGAAGGTTATGAAGCTTGATTGCTGCTTCTCCCTTTACCACTCTCATCTGGTGTCTACCCTGCCTGTTTTGTATCCATCAGTAGGGTGACAAGATGATGCCAGAGCTGATTTTGACCCAAAGATTTATCTGGAAGCTGTTTGCCATCAAATCACGAACCAAGACAATTGCCTGTGAAACGTGTACCTCCTGCAGTTATAGGCCAGAATCTTTAGTAGTAATTGTTCTAGTCCAGTAAAATTGTGTTTCTAATCTAGTTTGTGTGTAATAATAAGTGTAAGTGGAGCCTTCTAGTAAGATTTAGAGCTCTACAGGTGCAATGGTGTATCCTTATTTTTAGTTTGATCCTGCAATTCCTTCATGCACATCTCCCACTCACACTCATTTCATAAATAGGGATCATAAAAACATATTTGCTAAAAATTTAGCAATATCTATCCAGTAGAAGTTCATAGAAATACCTTTTTGTACCTAAAATATATAAATGTGAGCTATGTTTGGTGCCATACTTGAACCTCTAAATTTCCTTTCTTTCCTGCTTCTTCATGTAACAGTTTGCTACTGCGTATTCCTGGAGCATGAGATACTTGAACTTCTAGCTAACAACTCTTCATGATTTTACACTAATAGTTTTGAGCTCTTGCCCTATAGGTGTTCCTTTCCAGCTGTTCTCAAGTGATGGTTGACTCAATAATGCAAAGGTACATTAATTATTAGTCTACTACCTGATTCTCCTCCAGAATATTCCTTATAAAATCCCAGGGAGAAATAAGCCTAACATGCCCTCACAATTTTATCTGGGCAAAAATATGTGCAAGCCAGAATTTAGCAGCTGATGTTTTCAGGTTTTATCATTATTACATTTTCTATTAGCACAGTTTGAAAACTGCATGTTCAGAATAACCAAAGGATGTCAGCATTAAGAGTGATGTGGCTGTGGGTATCTTGGAAATCTGGAGTGCGACCCAGAAAACAAGTAAGTATCTCCATTGTCATGCAGTTCCTTGCTTAGAAGTTTTCTCTCCTTACTACTCTTTTCTCTTTTTTTGCTATTGTCGATTTTAAGAATAGACCTGATGTGAGTCCTTGTCTGCCCAGAACGAATTGATAAATATTCAAGTCCAAAAATAGAACACACGTGGTATTTTTATCCTATTTTCCGAGGAGATCTGTACTCTGCTGCAAGAAATTGTTCTCCAAGTAAAAATATCATCAGTGTTTTTACTGCTGTTCCCCCTAAACTCCATGCTAAATGGCAGTGGTTTTGCAAACTCTCAGAAGAAAATATGAAAGGCCTGCTGCTCTCTGGAGCATCAGCTTCCTTGGATTAGCCTGTTAAAGTACAAGCAATGAAAAGATGTGCAATTCATACAGGTTGTCTATAAGAACTGACTGAGACAGGCTTGTTTTATTTTGCTAAGTATCTCGTTAAGTCCTGCCAGTCATATTCAAGAGTACTCGAGTCAGATTCTTTGACAGGGGTGTCTTACAGAGCCATGTTAGCAAAATCTGAATAAAATGTGAACTTCCTAAAGTGATATAACCACTGGGAGAGAAAACTTAGTTGTGGAGACAAGAATTCACTGCTACTTTGGTACCTAAGAGTCTCCAGCACTGTGAGCAACTGAGAAGAGGGGGAAATGCACGTTCTGAATTATGTTTCAGCACATCTGAAATGATATAGTGACCATAGTCTTTTCACTTGATTATCCTGAGTTCCCACTGCTGCAATATTTTTCTTGTTTTTAAGGGAGTCACTGATCTTATGGGAAGTTGGCTGTGTTGCCATGAGAAGCTAATAAAAATAATAGTGAAGCAAGCACAGGGAGGAGTAGAAGAGCAAAAACAGAAGACTAAAAGGGAAGGAGAGTAATTCATGGCCTAGAAGTTCAGTAAGTACTGAGCTATAGTGTAGTCTTATTTGCTGCACAGAAGTCTTGATTACAGTAGGAAGATTAGTGCTGGACTGGGGCCAGACCCTGCCAGTGTGAATTGCAGCAGTTGGGGGATAGCATAAATTAATATTGGGCATAGCAACATAAATTAAGCTTTTTAAATCTCAAGTTCCCTTTTCATGAAAATGTATTAAATTGTTGTGTATTTTTTCTGGCACTGTATACATAGATAAGCAATAATGCATATTTCTTGTCTGCATCACTGTAAAACAGGACAAATCTGTGTGATAACACATCTTAGAGATCCTTTACTATACTACAGTATTCTTAATACAGTACTATTGAAGATAATGACATGTAGGTATTCTCTCTTTGTTCTACCAATAATAGTATCCCTTATGAATATGAAGGAACAGAGGAAATGTAAGAGCTTTTAAATAAAAATTGCTCTTTGAATACTATGAAAATATAAAGCTGAATGAAATGAGTCACTGTATTCATCTGTAAATACCTAAAGCTTGTTTTTTGCTTTTAAATCAGTTAAAAATTGGATCAAGTGAGATCTCTGAGCTAGATTGAATTGCATGTAGTTACGTGATCCCTATCACATTAGAATGGATTTAAAAAGGCACAAAAAAGCTGTTCTGCTTCTCCCATTATCAGCTGTGGGTCTATTATGTGTACATCACATTTTATTTATCTTTTATCTATCTTTAGCTCAAGAACACGCTTTAGCTATTAAAAAAAATAATAATGCTTATAAAGGAATACCAAAGTTATTGGTCTGTTTCTACTTGTCTTTATACTCAAATATCCACCGACTTTTTCAGTTTAACAGTCCTATGAAATAATGACAAGAAAATGCATCTGAAATTTTGAAAGAGAGGTAAAAACTAGATAAACCATTATTTTCTGTCCCAAGTCCTTGAAACATCTCAAAAACGAAATAAAAAGCTGCTCAAGTCCTACTGATAAAAAGTAATACAGGACTTGCTAAAGAATTAAGTGGCTGAACTCTGGAAAATGCCCCTAGAATTAAACTTTACTGAAGTAGGAGTAAATCCAGGTGTTCCTAATAGTTCAGGAAGTGTACCTATGACAATTCTTCTATTTTTATGGCATCATACGTGTCCTTGAGACTAAGTGATGATAGAGGTTTGATCCATGCCTTTGGTATGCTCCTGTGCCAGGTGCAGAAGGATCTGGGGTTTGGTACTGGAAATTAATCTGTAGAATGTTTTTAAACTGCCTCCAGGAGCACCAAAATTTTGGACTGGCTTTTTGATGACAGAAGACATTGTATTTTAATGGCATTTGAGATGACATTAGGGATTTCTCTATATCTTTCACTTTACATTGACTATGGAACCCAAAGAACTGTGATGGTGGAAAAGCTGGTTCACTACAACTGCCATTTATACATTTCACAGTACTTTTGGCAAGATCAGTATGAACTGATTTGATGCCTGACGTTCTGTGTGTTTATTTGGTTGATCCTTCATTCTCTCTTATATAGTCATAGGTCATCTGCTGAAAGGAATGAGGTTAAGGGTACGAGCAGTTACTGATGTATGTAGGCAGCAGAGACAGAGAAGTAACATGGATAATGTGAGTTGTGCTGGAGGGATCTGAAGGGAAATAGTCACCAGGCTGTCTTGGTTTCTCTGTGGAGGAGGACCAAGGCAATGAAACAAAAGCCTAACCCACTTGCTGCGCGCACTGAATTTGTCTCCAGTTGCAAATACCTTGAGGCAAAGTGTTCTGGTGTGAATGCTACTTTTGATTTCTTCTCGATGTAGTCTTTTCTTTCTCCGTGAGGAGAAGCAGGAGTGCCTATACTTAATTTGTACTGAGATGGTAGAATTCCAGCTGTGATGTCAAATACAGCCAAGCTGCATTTTCACGGTGATCCCTTACAGAGAGTGGAATCCGTCACAGCTTCGATTTTCTAGGTGCAGAAGGAATGGTTTGTACACTGCTTGTGTTATAGCAGGCAGAGAGAGCAGAGATTTGAGGCGTTAACTCTGCCAAATACAGAACGGTACCCTCTAGTCATGAACTAGGACCTACTTTCTGTTCAGGTACAGAATTGGGAGCGAAGTTAATTTGGCTTCATTTGCGAGACGGCTGCAGCGGCCTCGGTGTGCTGGGTAGGAGCGGAGGGAACGCTTGCTTGCACTGCTGGGGGGCGAGCGGGGCAGCGGGGTGGAGGTGGGGGTAGCTTTTTTCCCTTTTCTGGGAAATTTGGCTTCGGAATTCTCCGAGCCGCCCCAGCAACGGGTTTGGCTTCCTTAAGACAGAGCAGAGGCCAGGGCTGGCAGCGTCGCTCCGGGCGGAGAGTTTTGCTCGGCATGCCGGGCATCACCCCCGCGGGGCCGTCGCTGCCGGTGACTGCCGCGTTCGCGGAGCGGGGCGGGGGCCGGGCCGTGTGCGGGGCCGGGGCGCAGTGCGGGCGGCGGCCGCCAGGGGCCGGCGGCGGGCCGGGAACGGCGGCAACCGCGGGGAGAGCGGGAGCGGCGGCGGGCGGCGGCTCGGGAGCAACAGGGCCGGCTCCGGGAGCGCCGTGCGGCGCGGGGCCGGGCCGGGGCCGGGGCCGGGCCGGCCGAGCTCCCTCAGCGGGCGGCGGGAGCGGCGCGTCCGGCGGGCGGGCCCGCGGTGCGGCTGCGGCGGGCGCGGGTCCCGCGTCGCCTCAAAACCCGCACAACAAGTGGATGTCGCGGGCGGGAGCGGGCTGAGCCGCTGCCCCTGGACGTGTTTCGGGGAGGTGGGGGTGGAGAGACGGCACGGAGCGACCCCGCGTCCCCCCGCCGCGGGGACCCGGCTCGGTGCGCGGATTATCCGGCGCTGATTCACAAATCTGCTGCGAGAGCCGGGCGCGGGGAGGCTGGTGATCGCGCCTGCCCGTCCATCCCGCCTCGCACACACACACGCACACACACACACACACGCACACACACACACGCCGCCTTCCCTCTGGGAACGAGACCCTCGCTTGTTGCCTTTCCGCCGATGCCTGGGCGAGCGGCGGGGCTGTGGCTCTGCGCGCTGCCCCTGCCCCGCTCGCTCCCGCCGCCCGCGCTGCGCCCGGGAAGGAGGGACGGGAATCACTCGCCAACCTGTGGTGCGCACTGACCACAGACACCTGCGAATGTGGATCAGCCGGCACAGCCCCCTCGGGACCGCTGCCACCGCGCCCGTGCACCGCCAGGAACAGCGTTGCTATTTCTCTGCCTAGGACCAGTAAGTATAAGAGCGGCTTTAAGACCCTTTTCTGCATGGCACATAGGTACGATTTTAAAAATAGCGTCATTTAATAGTTCGTGTTCACCTTCTGTCATGTATTAATAGATGTGGCTATAAACGAGGTTTCTGTTTCAAAGGGGGCGTGGGGGGTTGTGTATTTTTGCGTGTGTGCTTGCATGTAGATGTTGCTTCAGTGCACCTGCAGTTGTTTTCTTGACATATCATATCACGGTATTTTCACTTGGGTGAGCACTGTACGTGCCTGTTTCCAAATTAAATCCAGCGAGACGTTCATTGTGATTGAAACACAATTCTGCTGTAGATTAAAATGTAGCATTCCCGCATCTGATGTGTTTCTTACAAATATAACAAAAGCTCTTTGTGTTAGATACATTTATTCTTTAACGTTCTATGTAGATATATGTAGGTGTATCTATTACATATGTGCTCAAAGACCTGAATGCCCTGTGTGTTGCAGTATTTTTATTGGTGTTTATGTGTTGATGTTTCAGAAGCATGCATATGTTTGTGTATGGATGGAAGTGCTTATATGGGTGGGGATTTTGTATCTGTCTCTATATATATGTGACATACCCACCCACATCCTTACCCACAGAGTCGTTCAAAATCTCAGTGCATGTGATGTGGGTGTGTGTGTAATGTAGAAGTGTGAATAGTGTGGGCAGGAGAAGATTTGAATGCCGTGGTAATAGATGACACAGTTTCATTTGATCGGTGTGACCTTTTAGGAAAACAATCCAATCTTTTCCCTTTTTGTTTTGTTTATTTTTGTGTGTTTGTGCATGTGCCTCAGGTTAAGTGCTTCTTCTGCATGACCATAACCAAAGGGTGACCCATCCACTCCCTTATGTCCTATGGGGACCTCAGAGCCAGTTTCTCAGTCTTCATCTCCTCCTCCTCCTCCTCCACCTCCTCCTCCTCCTCTTACCACTGCTGCTGATGCCCTGGGTGCTGCTCCCAGGTTTGAGACATTGTTGACAGGCTGAAGAAAGGATTTGCAAAGACCTCCTCACTGTGTAAATGAAGTGATGGCTGGAATTAACTTCAACTTCCCAAGTAATGATATTGAACAGTAAGTTTGCTAGGCCAAAGCGTTACCGAGAACAAATAATGAGGAAAGAGACTATTTGCATTTGGTTGCAATGATGAACTAAAACCATCTGTGGAGAACAGGTACCATTTGATTCGCACTTTTTTTTTTCCCCTGACAAATGCAGCCTTTATAGCCTGCGAGGTAGACATGATTATGATCAGATCTGTGATAGCTGCAGGAGATAAATGAAAATAAAGGGGCTTGGTGAATGAAATAACAAGGTCTCAGCTGTTCCCTGGTTCAATTTGAGGATCCCGTCTTTTCTTATTAGCAAAACAGGAGTTTGTGTCAAACATTCCAGAGAACGAGAAAATGCAGACCTGTGCTTTTCCAAAACACAGATTCAGTGTTACAACCATGCTGCCATGCTCCACGTCCCGGGGACTGTCCTCCAAATGCAAATGGCTTTGAACTTTCTAGTGAAAGTTAAGGTTACGCTGTAAATAGAACAAAGCCTTGTCGCAGTAAGTGATTAAAAAAAAAATAAAAATAAAACAGTTGCAAAATGGAGGTGGCGATGGTGAGTGCAGATAGCTCGGGGTGCAACACCCACATGCCCTATGGATACGCGGCCCAAGCCCGGGCGCGAGAGAGGGAGCGGCTGGCACAGTCCCGGGCCGCCGCGGCCGCGGCCGTAGCAGCAGCGACGGCAGCAGTGGAAGGTGGGGCGGCCGGCGGGGGAGGACCTTACCACCACTACCACCAGGAGCAGAGCCGAGGGGCGTCCTCCTCTCACGGCGGGAGCGCGTCACGCAGCGGCCTGCCCCACCGCCAGGGCGGTAAGAGGAGGAAGAAAGGGAAAAAGAGGAGCCACCACTTGGGGAGTAGGGAGTGCGGGGCCTCCTTCCCCTGCTCTGAGCTGCTGCCGCTCAGTGGTTCTGAGGAGAGGATACTGAAGGACTTGAGTGAGGAGGAAGAGGAGGATGAAGACGAGGACGAAGACGATGAGGAAGAAGGAAAACTCTACTACAGTGATGACTATGGGGAGGATGAGTTTTCCTACTCGGACCAGCCACCCGATGATGGTGGAGGCCCTGGGGGTTACAGCTCTGTCCGCTACAGTGAGTACGAGTGTTGCGAGCGTGTGGTGATCAACGTGTCAGGACTGCGCTTTGAGACCCAGCTGAAGACGTTAGCTCAGTTCCCGGAGACGTTGCTGGGCGATCCGGCGAAGCGAGGGAGATACTTTGATCCTCTCAGGAATGAGTACTTCTTTGATAGGAACCGACCCAGCTTTGATGCCATCCTGTACTACTACCAGAGCGGTGGTCGGCTGAAGAGGCCAGTCAATGTACCCTTTGACATCTTCTCCGAGGAGGTGAAGTTCTACCAACTTGGGGAGGAGGCCATGCTCAAGTTCAGGGAGGATGAAGGGTTTGTCAAAGAGGAAGAGGACAAAGTTTTGCCAGAGAATGAGTTTAAGAGGCAGGTCTGGCTGCTGTTTGAGTACCCGGAGAGCTCCACTCCAGCCAGAGGCATTGCCATTGTCTCTGTCTTAGTCATCTTGATCTCCATCGTCATCTTTTGTCTGGAGACTTTACCAGAGTTCAGAGATGACAAGGAATTCGTCATGTCCCTGAGCTTAGGGAAGGGGCTTTCCAATGAGTCACTTCACCTGAACGCTGGGGAGCACACCATCTTCAATGACCCTTTTTTCATTGTAGAGACAGTGTGCATCATTTGGTTCTCCTTTGAGTTTACGGTGCGCTGCTTTGCGTGTCCGAGCAAAGCACACTTCTTCAAGAACGTCATGAACATCATAGACATTGTCTCCATCTTGCCTTACTTCATTACTCTGGGCACTGACCTGGCGCAGGAGCAGGGCAGTCAACAGGCCATGTCCTTTGCCATCCTGAGGATCATCCGTCTGGTCAGGGTGTTTCGCATCTTCAAGCTCTCCAGGCACTCCAAGGGTTTGCAGATCCTGGGTCACACGCTCAGGGCCAGCATGAGGGAACTTGGCCTCCTCATCTTTTTTCTTTTTATCGGAGTCATTTTGTTTTCCAGTGCTGTTTACTTCGCAGAAGCTGATGAGCCTGCCACCCATTTTCAAAGCATCCCAGATGCCTTTTGGTGGGCCGTAGTGACCATGACTACGGTTGGTTATGGGGACATGAAACCCATAACTGTGGGTGGGAAAATAGTCGGGTCCCTGTGTGCCATTGCGGGAGTGTTAACCATTGCTTTACCAGTGCCAGTGATTGTCTCCAATTTTAACTATTTCTACCATAGAGAAACTGAGAATGAGGAACAAACACAGATGATGCAAAATGCAGTCAGTTGCCCTTACCTCCCAACAAATTTACTGAAGAAATTTAGAAGCGCGTCTTCTTCATCCACAGAGGATAAATCAGAGTATTTGGAGATGGAAGAAGGAGTTAAAGAATCTCTCTGTGTAAAGGAGAACAAAAGTCAGGACACGGGGAATAGCAGTGAGTCAGAGAAGAAAAACTGTGTAAATTCAAATTCCGTGGAAACTGATGTGTAATTTTGAACGTTTCCAGATATATTTATGCATTAAAGAGCGCAGTGAAAATAATGAAATATGCAAACAAGAGTCTGCAGCATACAGTAGTATGCCGTTTAATGGTTAAATACAAATAAAAAGCATTGCTAAACATGTATTACATATCAAGGAAGTGGTATGACTTGAGGTGAGGGTTGCTAGATCTGATACATTTTCAGACTTTATATTTTTATTAGAATGCAAGTGTTTTGCACATGAGGCTGAAAAATTTATTAAAACCAAGTCAGTTTTAAAGTGGGTGCATGAACTGTCGACATCACTAATAACAGCTCTGTGGTAAAAGTTGGCATTCAGAGGTATTTACTATGTAAGAAACAATGAAGTTTGGTAGTCATTTATCTATTTATCAGTGCTTTAATAGCAGCTACCATAAATCATTGGATACCATAGTCATTGTTTTTCAAATGGTAAATTTATTGTAAAAAGATATTCTACAGAAGATAGATCTAAATTTTTTTTTCCTGAAATCTATAATGCTTGTTTTTAACTGGAAATTTACTTTGAAAAGGCTGTTGACCCTCCAGAAATTGTTTATTTTTATAACTCTCTTTGGAGGCATTGCAGCATTTGTTGTCTAATAATGAAAGAAATGAAGTAAGAGAATCATTTAACCTGGTCTGACTGCAAAGGCAAAATGACTGGAATGCTTTTTTGCACTACTTTATATGCTGGAGATATATTGAAAGAGACTTCATACTGTGAATGTTTACTAATGTAATAGTTCAATGACAATCATTGGAAGAGTGAATTCTGCATCATATTTTATTGTTTCTTTTTTCTTTGTGATGCTGATGGCAAAATAGCTAACATTACATGAATTCCATACTCCTTTTGATTATGAATATCTGTGATCTGGAGAAGGATTGTGAAGTAAAATTTTATAATCAAAAATATTTGAAATCGGTGTTTTCTACTGATGCCCTCAAGAAGTACCAACCTAATTTATATCTTTTTCCTGCTTAATTTAACACTGAGTCTATGATTAGTACATGCACTTTGTCAGTACTGAAGAAATTCAGTGTATGGGAGGAGAAGGTAGAAGTAATAAGATATTCAGTTGTTACAGTACTGACAATTGAGAATTGCTGACTTTTAATGTGCTATTATTGGTGCTGCTTGATTACAGCTTTCACCCATGTATATTTGAAGCAACATTTAAGATCCAAAATAGGCATTTCTGGGCTTCAAAATGAACACGTTGGGTCCCATGGAGTCCTTGTGAGAACATTCCATGGTTTCTTTTCACTGATTCTTAGGCCAGCTGTGTTTTCTATGTGTCAGAAACTTCCATTGCCCTTCCTAGGAGATTAAGGTAGGTAAAGACTATCCAGCCTACAGTATATTTCAGGCTCCAGAATGAAATAGGTAAGATACTGCTGCATACAACATAAATAATAGATTCAGAGCAAGTATTTTTTTTTCAGACTTATCACTACCTAGGGAAGGCACAATTAAACTGGAACTGTTTTTGAAGAGGCACTGTGGAACATTCCAGATTATAAAACTTGAACCAAATTGGCATATGCACTTTAAGGTCTGGGACAGGCCATTAAGAGAGAAAAAAGGACTTACCAACGCTACTGAACTACAGTAGTTTTGCCATATTCAGTTAAAGTCGAGCGGGGAGGACTTTTGCAGGGGGGGAGAACTCATTAGTGACTGACTTATAGTTCTGGAGCTGAAAAGCAACAACCAAACCAGTCTGAATTGGGCATCCACGACATTCTCCATAATCAGATAAATGTTGTTTGCTGTTGTGTGGCATCCAGTGGCACCAAGCAGAGCTGCAGTTGTGGGCTTCTATATAAGGGGGTTGGGTTTTGCCTTCATGGGTTTTCTGTGGATCTCTTCTTCAAAAAGTTTCTCTGCTTGTCCTCTTTTGCATTGCAGAAGAAATAATAAAAATCAAGACACACACAAAAGACTGCGTTGTGGTGAGCCCTGGTTAAAAAAATATGTGTTTAAATGTCTGATTCCCAATTTAAAAACACAGAGCAAGGCTTCGCTGTGTTTTTGATGTGAGGCATTAAAGCTCCTTTTTATTGAGGTGATATTAACTCCAACTGTGTTTGGAATGAGAAGACTCAGTAATTTGCCAAAATTTAATATTGCATTTCATTGTAGCTCACCTGCGTTGAATGTGCTAAATACCTTTTTAACAGGGGCAATATCAGCAGTGAGAATGATCTGTAAAATTCTGTAAAAATCCATAACTGAAAGCATTTCTTTCACAGCTGGTAGTTAATGGCGTGAAGGGCATGAAGGTTCTCTTCCTAAAGGAACTTGCTGGTACTTCTGATATCAGAGACCGTGTAATACCTGGGACCATGGCAAGGATGCAGGAGTGAAAGGAATACTAACTAGGTAAATAAAGAAATTAGAGAAAATAAGCAGTGCATGTTTTCAGTATCGGCTGGTTGAAAGGGGAGGTGGTTCACAAGAGGTGGAATTTTAGATTTCTAATGGAAATAAGGAAGGAAATTCTTTGAATCACTTTTATAATATATTCACACTGTAGACACAGAACTCAGCATGAGGTGAGTGCTCCAGCAAGTCGTTCAGCTATTCTGCTACCAGAACACAACCTTTTAATTGGAAACAAGCGTGGTGATGTCTGTGCTATGCTGTGATCATACAGTACCTTACTCTTGGAAGGAAAAGGTCTTACTGTAGGGCCTTGTAGCAGCTGGCAGAGCAACATTCTTGGTGCATCAGCACCACGTACTGCAGTACTGGGAAGGTAAATCCTAAGGTGACAGTGGAGCCTACTCTGCCTCCTGCAGTGCATAAACATCTGTACTTTGCCATTATAAATTAGAGCTACCCTAGCTCAGTCTTAGGTTGTTCCATCAGTTTGGTGGACCATTCCGAATCACAGAAAGAGTTATGCATTCCAGAATGGAAGCAAACATCTCTTCTGGGGCTTATAATTTGATTGTTCAACTGTCTATTGGTCCAGTCCCTTACAACAGAGTTTTAAAATGCCAAAGTCCTACCACTAAATGCTAAAACCCAAAGATCCCAAGTGCTTAACAAGAAACAGAAATTTCTATCAAGTATTACTTTGGTTGAAATTGTTTGCCAGAGAAACCCTCTAATTGAGCTGTTATGGCTCCAAATTACTGTTACTGCTTCTGTCAGACCTTGCCCAGTGTTGCTGGATACTGACAATGCTCAGAAAAATAGTTTTATTATGACTTGGACATTTTACATTTTAAATTATAGTGGTGAAATGGGTTCCTGATGTAGCTGATGTGAATGGAGTTACACCGGGGATCATTTTAGTTCTACTAATGTAGTTCAAATGATTTCACATTGACATACATTTCAGCTAAAAATAATGCAAAATGAGATATTTCAGGTTCGCTTGCAGTGGTGAAAAAAATTTGGAGGAGTTCCATTAGAATTCATGGAATCACAGCAGCACCAAATCAGTTTTCAAATATAGTCTGATACTTAACTGTGTGCTGCCATTTATTTAAGGAAATTCCTAAGTATTTTTATAGTAATCTTAAGTGCCAAGGCCAGACTCATAAGGAGAGAGTTTTGCCAGCTGAAGCGTTGGATTTAATGCCTGACTTCAGAGATCCATAAATTTTTTCTCTATTACTTTTCTGATGTTACATCGATTCCTTGAAAATATCGGCCCGGATGCTGAACCAAAAAGAAGCGGTTTGTACCAAAAGAAGTGTTGTGTAACCCAGTCAGTGAGTACTTGGTGAAGGCTTTCAGTGTTCAGTTAAGCTTTCTAGAATGATTCCACAAGAGGCCAATTCCATTTGATGGAAAGTCTAATTTGTTTGTTTGTATTTGGAGGAAAATACCTATGTTTTCTTGTCTAGAATCCATTTCTGTGATGTTCATGTAATGCAGAATAAATTTGGGAGTTCAAGGGGGTGAAAAGCCCCCCTGCTATCATGATTACATCTAATTCATGACAATATTGTTCTTGGTGTTTGGGCATTCTCGTGGTCATAAAAATGGGACTTGAGTGTCTTTTCAGTCAGTAAAGCTTTTCAAATGGCTTTGGAATATGAAAATGATTTTGCGTAGTACTGGTGTGCAGAGAGTTTGGGATCAGGATCCTTGAATGAAGGATCATATGGTGTAGCTCCTGATACAGAAGATTCCTGTCAAGTGGGAAGGTTGGAAGTCTTTTGACTTGGGATCTGAAAATTCAGTGCTACACTGCCCAAGAATATGAGGTACTTCCTCTTCAAACTTGGATAAATGCAGGATAAATGCACTATGGAAAACCAGCAAAATATCGGAAAGTCTATTCCGTGGGTAGGTAGTTCCTGAAAAACCTTTCTCACACAGCACTGAAAAATGAAATGTACCTTTCTGGTGATCCTGGACTTGTAAAACTAATTCTGAATATCAATTAATTTTTAGCATAATCTTTACAGTTTATAGATAATCCTCAAATTAAATATAATCTATCCATGGTACTTTAGACCATGTCACCAGCTTCCTCCATTTTTTACTGGTACCTTATTACTTCTTACTGTCACTGCATCCAGTTATAAATACAGGACTGTTTTTTAAAATTTTAATTAATTGACAAGAGACTAAGAAATTAAAACAAATATTAAAAAAAATCTTTATTATGCAGCGTATAATTTACGTATTTTTCTTATCATGAAATAAATCTAAATGACAGACTAACATCTGTAGACATGGGGCAGGGTATGCACTTTCCTGTTGCTATAACTGAATGATCAAGTGCTTTTGATTTTGCAGTAAGATCCAGTTGACAGATCTACCGTATTTTCGCACCTCTGTTTGAAACAAATGCTTGTAGAAAATTTGTCAGTTTTGTAAAAATGAACATTCCTTCATTTCCCCAGAGATCATCTAATGTGGGAAAAGCGATTGACAGATTAATTCTAGGTTAAAGTGCATAAATGTTTTGCACCTGATGCCCAGGTACTCTACATATTGCTGCCATGCTTTCTGTGTGTTCAGAATTCTGATGACATTAGTTCTGAAGGAAAACTCATTAAAGCATTATGTACTGAGATGGTTGAATTAATTTTTGTTTTTAATCCTTTTCTGTAAAATTATGATGTGCCTTGAGACCTTTTTCTGCAGCAGGCCCTTTGGAAAACAAATACATAAGTATTTAAGAAGGAAAGAAGAGAAATCTTAAATGGCATGAAAAAATCTGATAAAATATCCTAATTCGGAGAAAGTAGGTAAGTAAAAACTTTTCTTTTTTCTTTCACTTGTGCATTATGTTATTGCCATTGAAAGCAAATTGGGAACAAATAGGCTGAACCGATACACAACTGCAAACAGAGGTACTTCATCTGTTGTGTCTCTTCCAGGTACTCTGGGATCTTGGGAGCAGCTTGGATCAGCTGCTGCTCTGGCATTGTGCAGCTGGGAAGATGCTCCTTGCATCAGGCAGTGCCAGGTGGGGTGGGAGGGGGTGCAGTGAAGTTTTTAGCCTATCTGGTAAATCCCCGCTCCTACCACAAGTATCCTGAGAGCAAAAGTTGTTCAATTATTTGCTTGGCAATGCCGAGCAACCCTTTTAGACGGGGAGGCCTCAAAGGCTCCAGTCTGCCAGTTCCTGAGCCACAGAGGGACTCAGGTCTCCACTCACAAAATGTACTTTTCAAAAACCTAATTTCCGTTCATTTCTTTAGGAATTGGGTTGTAAAATGCTTCCAGAATCCAGGAACAAGCAATTTCCTTAAGGTCAAAAGGAAGACTGCAGTGGGGCAGGTTTCCCAGGTGTTCCACTGAAGAGTGTAGGAAGTGACAGCACACATTGAAGAGAGATTTTGGTCTCTTTGTTTTTAGTCTCTTGTTCAAATGTTCCTGGGGTATTTGTGTTCAGAGTACGGAGGAGGATGGATACATTCAGTGAGGTATGTCAAAGGCATCTTTAAATTTAGATACATACTTTTTTTTCTGTTCTTAGCAGTCAGAATGAGCTAAGGTTTGGGGTTTTTTTTATTATTAGTTGCTTAGTCCTAACACTTCTTATAAAAGCCATTTCAGGGGTAGAACATACACTGACACTGAAACTCTCATCCTGGACATGAATGGTAGCTTTCAATTCAGAAAATCAAGTGAGACATGTTCAGTATCACTCTTGACCTTTTAATTTGTTACAGTTGTGCTGCCTTTGGGTCCAATGCTCTTGCACTGAAGCCTCCCAAAGTTTCTGGTGTCAATACTAGACAGTGTGTAGCAGTGCAGTGTAGGACAGCCAAGTAGAAAATGGGTTTTCCTTGTTTGTGTTGGTATGATTTTGATGCAGAATTCTGCACACAGGGAGACAGCGTTCCCTTTTCTCCTCTGCCCTGTGCAATGGAAGGACAAGGCACTTGGGGGGTTTGCTTGCCCTGCCCCGTAGATTGAACCCAGTTTCTTGCTTCTGTTCCATTTAGATCAGTGGAGGTTTGTTTTCAGTCAGAGCCCGTGATGTCTGTCCTTGATGCGGATCATCCACTATGTGAATGAACTTTAATTTCTGCCTTTTGTTGTCTCCCTGCTGGCACAGCTTTGTGATGAATTCAGGGTGTCATTCAGTGACAGTTTCTCCTTGCACAGAGGAGCCTGAATAGCACAGTGAGCCTGAACACAGGAAACTGCAGAGGACTCTTCATGTGAAATCAAGATACCTTTCATTTTCCTAGCCAAAGATGTATTAGTACTACAAGTCACACGTTCCACAGAATGTAAACTTCAGGTTAAATACCTTGGGTTTCATTAGTGGCTTTGTACTTTAGAGATGCCCTCAATTTGCTCCGAATTCCTCAGGAATTTAAGACATTGACTATTTTTCAGGTCTCAAGCATGAAGGAAGATGATCCCTCTTTGCATTCAAAATGGCAAGGCAACATTATAAACGAGAAATCTTGCATGCTTTTCAGGTTAAGAAGCTAAGGAATAGTATATTTTCTGTTAAAGTCTTTCTTAAATATTAACTGCAGATACAAATACTGAAGAAAAATATGGTTTCATTACAGGGAAGGGGTAGAAAAGAATTTTGATTCAATGTTTAAAGGGCATCATTGTATTTTATTGTGTGCCAGATGACAAACTCAGACGTCTTATCTTAGCAAAAATCTATCGTACTGAGAAAATACAGAAGAGGAATTGTATAGTAATTTATACTTCAGCATTTAGTTCTGTATATGTTTATTTCTATTAGCTGCTTGTAAGCACTTTTATTTTTCAGGACTTTCAGATCTGAAAATCAAAGATAAAATCGCTATAAGGATTTCAGTAAACGAGAGGAACAAGATTTAATGTTTCTGAGAATCTGCAAGAAGAAATTGTTATTTTGGTGCCATTTAATTTGTGAACATAAACTGTAATAAATGATATCATGGATCCGTAAGTTAGAAGATAAAACTGTTTTCTCTGACTAGTAAAATATTTTTTTGTTACTCATAGCTTAATGAAGGATTAGCATTTGTTTTTAGCTTTGAAATATTGTAGAAAATGTGAAAAGATTCTAGTAAGTAAAAGTGGTACTGACTTGCTGCTCTTTGACCTATTTTACAAGAAAATATTTCCAGAATTGATTAGTGATACTGAACAACTCAATTCTTAAGTGAAATGGAGTGACTCTAAAGAGGTTTACTTTTGAATCGATGCAGAAAAAGTGTCTCATTTTTGGGCACCCAGAAATAAAGACGTTCAGACCACTACCTATTTCTGGAAATTTCTACCCTGGTGGCTTGACTGGTTTGTTTCTTTTGAGAGAACAAGTTATATTTCAGCTTTTTTTGATTTCTGTGATTTTCTGTAGTTTTGAATTATACTTAATAGAAGCAACCAGAGAATCCACAATGCGTAGTCTCAGTCGTACTGCCACACAAAACAATATATATGATTTAGAAGGTTCACTTAACAGTCAGGCACCTTACAGTGTAGGATTTTCTAAAGAAATGCTCCTAATACTTTTGACCTGTGTTCTGTGCTCTAAAAGGTTCTCCTGATGCCAGACCAACATGTTACATGAATGGCAATTTGAAGTGGTAAAAGAAAGGTGTTAGGGAGCAGCCAGGGCTGGCTCTTTCCCAGGGGCTGGGGTGGCCAGGAGCTAAACATGATCACACAGCCTTTGGGGCTGGGGCCTCACCAGCTCTGTCCTACAGAGTGGCACAAGCTGAGGATTAAATGGGGTTAGGGAGGACCATTAAGACCTATTTGAGCTCTCTGGGCCCTGACAAATACCCTGCATTTGCACCTTAACCATGGTTAGATCTGTTACAGATATGTCTGTTCTTCCAATATGCAGTTGTAGCTCAAGGTCTGTATTGCTCCAGCCAAAATTGAAAACTTACTTTTTTTTTTTTTTCCCAGAGCCTTAAATGCTGACCAGTTGTTGAGCTTTTTGCTACTCTTGATTTTTGGCTCTTAAGCATCCCCAGGTCTTATTTCTTTGCTGTTTTACTGCTAGTTTTGTTGCTTTCAATACATCTACAATTATTTCTCCTAAACTGTGTTACCACATGCTTTTTTTAGACACCTTACTTGTGCTGATGGGCCAGAACGTTTTCATGCCTTTTCAAAAACAAAGCTGTTTTTCAGCTCTTGAATGAATGGGTCCCAAAGATGCTGTCATTTCACAGAATCACAGAATATGCTGAGTTGGAAGGGACCCACAAGGACCATTGAGTCCAGCTCCTGGCCCTGCACAGGACCATCCCCAAGAGTCACACCATGTCCCTGAGAGTATCATTCAAATGCTGTTTGAACTCTGTCAGGCTTGGTGCTGTGACCACTGCCCTGGGGAGCCTGTTCAGTGCCCAACCACCTTCTGGGTGAAGAATCTCTTTCTAATATTTAACCTAAACCTGCCCTGACACAACTTCAGGCCATTCCATCAGGTCCTGTCACTGGTCACCACAGAGGAGAGATCAGTACCTGCCCCTCCTCTGCCCCTCAGGAGG